CAAAGTCATTAATTCCAACCCTGTTGGCAAAATAAAGACGAAGGAAAGGTAAAAGAAAAATACCAAAAACGTAAAACCATAGGTCAAAATGAAAATCTAAAGCAGTCTCACCTATAAAGAGAAGCAAAAAAAGAAAAAAAAAAAATGGCTTCTCAAAATGATTTGTTCAAACAGTGAAATCTCGAATCGTAATGAACAAGGGGGAAGAAAAAATAAAAGAAAATTAACCAAGCTAAATGCTTTGATATCGTTTGTAAAAATATTGGATGTAAATCTCGCTTCTAATTGGTTGACATATTTCTCATATGTGCGGAACTTCTTAATCAGCGCATGCGTTATAATTTTCTTTATTTTTTTCTTTTTGTAGTATGCTCTTCCGTTTCCACTTTCCATTTTTCATCATCTTTTTTTTTATTTCTTTTTGTTTCTTCCATTCGACATCATTCATTTGCTTATGTTGCTTTTGTTTCAAAACATCAACTTATTTTAAGGAAAGCACTGGATCTTAATTTAACAGCTTTACCTTATTTTTACTTCGAAAAACCAAAGAAAAAGCAAAACTGGGAAGAAATAATTGCAGTAAAACGAGTACCGTAATTCTCCATGTATAATGCGCATTTTTTTCTAAAAACATAATAAGCAAAATTAGGGGTGCATGTTATCCACAGCTAAAAAATATCTTAAAAAAATTGCCGTTTCATAGGTTTCTGTTGCAAAATGACTACTCACCATAAACATACAACAATTTGACACTAACATTCGGCGATTGCAACCCCATGAGGATGTCAAATACAATCTTATGTACCTAACAATACTTACAAATGTGAAATAAAAAAAAGAATTATAACAAAACTAAATTAGAATAATATTATTCTATGCGTAAAATCTTTTTTTTAATTAGAGTAGGAAACACTGGCTGTAATGAAATTGGAGAGGTACAATTTATAGGTTTTGATTACTAAACAAGGGGTGCGTATTATGTGTGAGTAGAAGCATTTTCCCACATTTTCAGCATAATTTTATGGGTGAGTATTATGGATGAAGGCGTATTATACATGCGGAATTACGGTAAGAATTAAGGATATTCTTATTAAAAAAATACTTTGTAATATGTCTGTATTTTTAGTTTATTTTTTGCATATAAGCATAACCGCTTCTTGTATCATTGTTGCGTTATATACACTGTTGCATTGATTTGTTTTTCTTTATCTGGAGAGATCAAAATGTTCAGTGAAGACATATTCGTAATAAAAAACATTTCTACAAATCAAATATTTCCTTCCCAAAATTGATATAAAGAAAACGGATCCATCAATGAAAAACCCAGTAACACTTACCATTTGTCTTAAACTATAAATATTGATCCATACACGCAAGGGACTTAATCTGTCAGAGTGTACGCTTATATACATGCAGTTAACAGATGAAGAAAACTTCAAATTTATCTATCTATACAACAAATATGACTAATTTTCAACAATATATATATATCATATATAGTAATTCATCGAGCCCAGAATAATCTTCAACAGAATGCAGAAAATACATGGCGGCCGTTTCGTCCTATTTGGGACTCATCAGCAGTGCGCATCCACAGACCATTTCGACACAAAGCAAACGTAATACCAACTGTACCACGGGCCGCTGTGGCGAAGAAGGCACAAACCCGACCCAATATAGCGCCGCTACTCACTCAGTTTCGCAGCGATACTCATCCAAGTATACGGATAACCTCGGAACAGTGCCCCAAGAGCCACGGCTGCTTATTGACCATTAGCCGCTCCTCATGAACATTAGCTGGGTCAAGCAAGGAAATTGGGTGGGGGGTAGAGTAATCATATAGTAATTCATCGAGCCCAAATGATCATCAACAGAATGCAAAAAAGTATTAGACGGCCGTTTATATATATATATATATATATATATATATATATATATATAAAAAAAAAAAAAAAAAAAATAAAAATAAAAAAAAAAAAAAAAAAAAATAATAATATTTCATCAAGCCCAGAATAATCTTCAACAGAATGCACTGGACAGCTATTTCGTCTTATTTGGGATTCATCAGCAGTGCTCATCCGCTACCGAGAATCGAACCCGGACCGTTTCGACACAAAGCAAACGTAATACCAACTGTACCACAGACCGCGGTGGCGAAGAAGGCACAAACCCGACCCGATATAGCGCCGCTTCTCACTCAGTTCCGCAGCGATACTCATCCAGGGTAACCTTGGAACAGTGCCCCAAGAGCCACGTCTGCTTATTGACCCTTAACCGCTCCTCATAAGCATTAGCTGAGTCAAGCAAGGAATTACAGTGAAGAAATTGGTGGTGGGTGGGGATTTAGAATAAGAGTATATATACGACGTGTGCAACAAGTATACAGCTTTATTTATCCCACCAAAAGTAAAAGCGAACGTACTGAGCAGAGATATTGAAGCATGCTTTCTTGGGTAAGAACAACGCACCCCTCCTTAGACACCCGACTTGGCTCCTTGTGACTTCTGGCTCTTCTCCAATCTGAAAACCACGAATTTCGCCGACACACCCTGCATGCACAAATCCTCCTTTAAAATGGAATGCACTGATCCTGTGCTTATCCCCACTTCGGGAGCAATTTGTTGCATTGTTACAGAACGGACTTCCATGACTATTCGTTGAACCTTCTCAATCGGCTCCTCGTTTCGGCTTGCAGATGGCCGCCTTCCTGATCGTACCTCGCTCTCCACCGAGGTGCGGCCATGTTTGATGCAGTTGTACCACTACATCGTCAAAGTATTTTCAGTGGTACAATCATCAAAAGCCTGGTGAGTCTTCTGGAGGGTTTGAAGTTGCGTAGGGCTACAATATTTTGGTAAAACTTGATGCAACATCCCTGCCGGGTGTGTTCTGTTATCTTGCGTGAAAACAATAATCTGACGAGTGTGCACTAAACATCTATCTATCTATCTATCTATCTATCTATCTATGTCTGTTCATTATCTATCTATCTATCTATCTATCTATCTATCTATCTATCTATCTATCTATCTATGTCTGTTCATTATCTATCTATCTATCTATCTATCTATCTATGCATTAAATATGGCAAATTGTAAACTAGTTAACAGATGCAGAAATGTTCAAAGACCGAATTTAAGTGTTTTACATACACGCAGGCACGCACACACACACGTACACACACACACATAGAGTCGAGTATCTATCTATCTATCTATCTATCTATCTATATATATATATACTTTGCAAATATTATAATGTCTCTAAATATAGCGTGTTTTTGTATTAAATCCGTTTTCTGAATTTGAAATTAACCTATGCCCTACCCTTTAAGAATATATGCGACTATATCTTTCCACAGATTCATTTTTTTTATCATTTCACCCCAAGCAAGGAAATAAAGCCACTATGGGTTACTGGGTGTTAGAGAATATGAGAAAAAACTACTATTAAGAAGAGAGGACAAAAAAAATCAACAAAAATTAAGAAGACAGAAGATAACGATTGATATTATAATTTTTGAATATCAAAGTTGAATGTGAAACTAGAAACCGGAAGACAGTTCCACCAGCGGAAAGGGCAATAGAAGAAACTGATAGCATAGAACTTACGGTTACATAATCTAGCACTTTCAACTGTAAGATGATGAGACCTTGGCGCCAATCTAGTACTGCGCTTAAATTCATTAAGTCTATGTAACATAAGGGAAAGTTCGTCAGAACAATTACTATAAAAGTATTTCTAGAAAAGACACAGCGAAGCTACATTACAGCGACAAGCTACATTATTCTATTGTTCAGAATGTTTATTTTTCTTTATCTTTATTTTTGTTTACGAAATGATATTCGGAGGACAAGGTATTGAACCGCGTATATTTGAAGCCAAATTCTACATCTCTTACCGCTGATCTCGTTCCAAGCAGACAAATGGTATCTATCTCTCTAGCTAGCTAGCTATCTATCTAGCTATCTATCTAGCTATCACAGTCCTTTCAGATCTCTCAAAGAGATAGATAGATAAATAGATAGATATGAACAGACGGAGATAGATAGATAGATAGATAGATAGATAGATAGATAGATAGATAGATAGATAGGAACAGATTTAGATAGATATGAATAGACTGATATAGATAGATAGATGGATAGATAGATACGAACAGGCTGAAGACTGAGATAGATAGATAGATAGGTAAAGAGAATCTATCTATCTATCTATCTATCTATCTATCTATCTATCTATCTATCTATCTATCTATCCCAGTCTTTTCATATCCATCAAATAGATAGATAAATAGATAGATATGAACAGACTGAGATACATAGATAGATAGCTAGATATGAACAGATTTAGATAGATATGAACAGACTGATATCGATAGATAGATAGATAGATAGATACGAACAGACTGAAGACTGCGATAGATAGATAGAATCTATCTATCTATCTATCTATCTATCTATCTATGGTAGTACTCAGCTATTTACTTTGTAAATTTAAAACTCTTTAAATCCAAAGCAGCGTTTCTTTTTAAGATTAATCCTCATTCTCTCATTGTAGGCCTCATTAACTGACATGATTTTCAAGTAAATCGATCACGCCTAAAGCTTTCTGCATGGCCTGGATCGTCGTAGTGCTATTACCAATTATTCGAAGGTAATAAATTTGGTCGAAATCAATTATTTTACGAGAAATTGATCTATTACTATATTGATTAGTTGAAGTAGATTATGAAACAGCAAAAAGGAAACTTACTGGAAAGTGGGGATTTGAATTCTATTTTTAAAGTCCAGTGTTTTTCATCGGAAGCGCTTTTTTTTTTGTTTTTAGTTTCATCAAATGTGCATTCAACGACGTGAAGTTGGATTACTTTAATTTTAATTTCGTGAGAAGAACCGTTTCTGTACAAGACACATTGGGTATTCATTGACTGAACAGTTAGCGTTTCGTTTCATTGAAATATATAAAATCTTCATTTATCTGCCAGATCCTTTCAAGACATGGCTCTCCACAGCTGCTGGTACTTCATTCCGTTAAGTCATTTTGGTCTGTTGGTAATGGTGAGATTAATAGCTGTTTCCCTATAAGGAAACATTTGGCATTTATTGACCGAACAGTTAGTGTTAGTATTATTGGAAATTTATAAAAATATCTTTTATTTGCCAGATCCGTTTAAGACATGGCTCTCCACGGTTACTCGTATTTCATTCCTCCAAGTCATTTTGGTCTGTTGGTCATAAAATCTATCTCTTAAACCAATTTTTAATAAATTAGATTAGTCTGTTATCAGTTTCTAGCATTGATGGAGTTTCCTTCCTAACCTTTTGTTCAAGGTAGTGTGGCAACTCAAAATCTTGATCTTATAATTATTTTCCCTTCTGGTTGCATGTATTATTCATATGAGTTCTTCCCGTTTTTGTAAATCTCCAAGAGATGTGGTTTTTGTTATTTGATAAAGCACTTTGTTCGTGATTATTTTTCGCCAATTTGCAAGTTCTGGCAAAATGCTGTCTTATTCAAGAGCCAGATGATTAATTCACTGGAATTTATTTTAAATCATTGACTTGAAAAAACAGTTATATAGGTCTGATACTTTAGACATTTCTAAATGTGTTGGATGGAATTCATGTCATCCATACGAAATTCTAGACTTTACGAAGGAATTTAAGAATATGACATTTTGGTTTAGTAGCAGCTTGTGGTATTAGGTAAAACAACCCCCAGCGCAGTCTAATCTGTGTTTAATTTCCTGAGCCATAAACAAAGGTATTTGAAGTGTTTATCATTTCTTTATTTCATATTCAGATTTTTTTAAAATAATGGATTCAGTATTTGGGGCATCACTAATTTTATTCCAGTTACACATCATGCTCTTTGTTCTGTAAAGTTTTATCCTAAGTACTACTTCTTGGAATACTTGAAAAAATTATTTTACCCCAAGCAAGGAGAAAATGCCACTAAGCCGCAAAGGGTTACTGGGAGATGAAGAGAATGAGAAGCCTTTAATGCGGAGAAAGGACAATAAAAGAACAGGTTTCAGGAGGACAGAAGATGGCGATAAAGCCACTAAGATGCGAGGGGTTACTGGAAGTGAAAGAGAATGAGAAGACTTTAGTGTGGGGAAAGGATAATAAAAGAACAGGTTTAAGGAAGACAGAAGATGGCGATAATGCCACTAAGACGCAAGGGGTTACTGGGGGTGATCTTCGTGTTCTTGTAACGGCATTCACCCGAGGTGGGTTGAGCCGGCTTCAATATTGGAGTTTCATGGAAATTTGGAATTCACAAGCGGTCCCCAATCCGCATGTATAGCACATGAGATTTGATTATAGTGGTGAAGGTTTCGTGCAGGACCATCCACACTTTTTGAAGGGCCGATTACAGAGACCTGATGCCCTGCATGCCACAAGGTCCCCAAACGACCCTCCGCAGGTTTTGTATTCAGAGTTATCCTTCTCCTAGAACAGTTGCCATCCAAGGCTATAGAACCCAGTCTGTCCTGCTATTTACCCATAGCTGGAGGGAGAAGAAGAGGATTCACACCTTTCCCAAGGGTATTAGCATGTAAGTGACTGGAATTCGAACTCGGCTCTCCGATTCCTCAATCCAAGCCGATATCCATTACTCCACCATGCCTCCTACTAGGGGTGAAAGAGAATGAGAATACTTTAGTGAAGAGAAATGACAATAAAAGCACAGGTTTCAAGGAGACCGCAGATGGCGATAATGCCACTAAGACGCAAGGGGTTACTGGGAATGAAAGAGAATAAGAAGACTTTAGTGAGGAGAAATGACAAAAACAAGATAGGTTTCAGAAAGACAGAAAATGATGCTGAACATTGCATCGAAATTTTTAAGACTGTAGGCGGTAGAGAGACAAGAAAACGGAATAGAGTTCCACAGGATAGAAGTACGCGAAAACAAACTATCAGAATAAAGTATATATTTAGTTAGTTCAGCAGTAAAAAGATAAAATCTTGCTGCCAATCTAGTAGTACGCTTAAATTCATGCGGTCTGGTTACAAAGGAAGAAAACCCATTCGAAAACCTGCCATGGAAATGTTTACAGAAAAGACAGAAGGAAAGCTAGTCACGATGAAGAAATCGAGATACCAGCCGAGGACTAATAAAATTACGGAACTTTCTTTGGAGTTTAACGAGAATTTCGAAAGAGCAGGAGGACCACACCAAATATGGCAACAATATTCAATGCACGGACGACTGGTATATTTATAAATGTGCAACATGGATTTTGATGATAAAAGTTATCTATCTATCTATCTATCTATCTATCTATCTATCTATCTATCTATCCTATTGATCATAATAACCCCTCCAGAGGCCTGCTGAACTATGTTGTTAGCAAGGCGTTTGGGGAAGGAGTAAGAAGTGCATATTATAAAGATATCTATGATAAATAAAAGTTGAAACTAGACTTGAAAAATCTATCTATCTATCTATCTATCTATCTATCTATCTATCTATCTATCACAGTCTGTTTATATCTATCTAAATCTATCTATCTATCTCAGTCTGTTCATATCTATCTTTCTTAATCTATTCATGTCTATCTATGAAATAAATAGATCGGTAGCTATATATATATATATATATATATATATATATATATATATATATATAAATAGATAGATATGAACAGACTGATATAGATAGATAAATAGATCGATAGATAGAACGATCGATAGATAGATAAATAGATAGATAGAAATAGACCGAAGACTGAGATAAATAGATAGATAGAATCTATTTATCTAAGTCTGTTCTATCTATCTATCTATTCATCTATCTATCTATCTATCTATCAAGCATTTTAAATGCATACACATCCATCTCTTTCGCCATATTTCAATCTAACAAAGGAAAAAAATCCCAGCTCGTAATTAGTTTGTCAATACAGGTGGTCGTCATTTATATCGCTGATCTTCTTTAAGATTGATATGTGCAGAAGAACAAAACAAATGACATACTCTAAACGACCAAGTAATGATGGGGTGTAATAAAGCCTTACAACAAACACTATTTTCCCTCAAATTCATCACACAAAAAAAGAAACGTTTAAAATGCATATCCATATTATTCATCATCTTTTATCTGCTGGAAGGCGCATGCGCACATTGGATTATCAATTGCTCAGAACAGACCAGTCATTTGCAATAGCATTATTGTTCGTTAGCCACTTTAAGCTTGCAATTTATTATTAAAATATGTTTTAATCTTTTTGGGGCTTAAAAAAAAATCTTTTTGCTATTAATCATCAAGAGTTTCCTGTACATTTAGTGTAACCTTATATAAGTTAATGCCAGATTATACAGCAGGTTAGGAGACATCTGTGTAATAAAGCGACAACATTAAAGAGAAGAGGAGGGGAACGGTCAATAAGCTACTGTTGAATTGATAGCAGAACAAGGAAGAAGACGGCTAGTAAAGGGTCTAGAGTTACTTAGAGGGACAACATCGCCCATTTATATGGTGTATGAAAGAAGAGAAATCGTAATGCTATCTCTCTCTCTCTCTCTCTCTCTCTCTCTCTCTCTCTCTATATATATATATATATATATATATATATATATATATATATATGTGCAAATATATAGAAAAATAGGAAAGAACTGTTAGGTTAATAATCCGAAGTTCTTTAGTATCTTGTTTTTATTTAAAAAAAAACAATAAAAAAAAAAAACAACAAAAAAACAGTGCTCAATACATAAGTAGAGCCTAAATATATATATATATATATATATATATATATATATATATATATATATATATATATATATATATATATATATATATTATTTCTTTCTTTTGTTTATTCATTTATTTTTTAAGGTTTATTGAAAAATTTCTTTTCTTCATTTCAACATTTCCTTTATTACTTCTTTGTTTTTTTCTTCTTTCTTGTCACTAAAATATAACAATTCTCTTCGTTCTTTTTTCTTTCTTTCTTTCTTTCTTTCTTTCATTTTTCCATTTATTTTTTATTTTCTCCATTTTAATCTTTTTTAAAATTCGCCTTTCTTTCTTTCTTCCTTTCTTTCTTTCTTTCTTTCTTTCTTTCAGTTTTATTTTTCTATTTATTTTTATTATTTTCTTTATTTTAATCTTTTTTTAAAATTCGCTCTATTTCTTTCTTTCTTTCTTTCTTTCTTTCTTTCAGTCATCTTTTTTTCCTCTTATTTCATCAATCTATGACAATCTTATTGCAACAATCAACCAACTAATTTTACCGGCTACTGTTATTTCACTTTTAACAACTTATATCCCAACTTATCTGATCTTTTATCAAATTAAGCAAAGCTGAGTAAATAACGGTCTTTAAATGTTTTTTTTTCCTCGCTCTCTCTCGTGATTACAACCCAGTGACGCAAAAAGTGCTTCATCTCAGCATAGAATGGAGATTTGGATAACAAAGAAGAGATCGATATCAGCCAATATAGGATCTCAGTCCTCAGTGAGATAAACAATACCCAATACGAATAACAATACCAATTGATTAACAGACATCCAACCAAGCATAATATTTTGAAGTAAACAAGAAGAAGGTAATTCTTGTAACTGTCTACATGTATCTCGGTCTAGTATTAATCTTGTTGTACAAATAGCTATTAGTAACATTGTTGTACATTGTAGTCAAAAGTTCAATCACTTAAGGGAAGTTTGAAATGCAGGCAGTATTTTAGAGTTAAAGGAGATAATCATTAAATTTAATTATGATCACGATCATAACTTCCGTAACAATTGAAAGTCGTAGAGGCAACACATGTATCGTAGCAGTAATAGAAGTGGATATGTCTAGGTTAGGATCGGTTGGTTTGAATTCGGGGTTCTACTGCTAGGTTAAGTGCTACCGGAAATTTTTTTTTAACCTGCTATTTGCTGTAGATAAAGAGAGATTCCAGGTTTTTTAAGAGGAATACATAATATACAACCTAGATAGCATGACCCGTAATTTTATGCAATCTTTCAATCTTTAGATTAGAAGAATATGCTCCGCACTCGAATATTGCAAAAGAAAAAAAATCCAACTGTGAGCCGTGTTATCGATGTTGGATATATATATATATATATATATATATATATATATATATATATATAATGAAAAAACAGACCACTTTAAGGTAACATTACAATAATTTATTTCACCAAAATCATTTTTAAAGGATTCCGGATTATCAGGTAACACTTCCAACAACGAAATGAAAGGAAAAATGGGATTAGAAATTGATGGGTAGTGTAATTTTTGTAATCTAACAGGGAAAGTGATATAATTCCAAGGAGGATGAAATCCTGAGAGCTCAATGTGAATACAGAGCTAATATTTAATGAAAAAAAACAGACCACTTTAAGGTACCATTACAATAATTTATTTCACCGAAATCCTTTTTAAAGGACTCCGGAGTCTTTTAAAAAGGATTTTGGTGAAATAAATTATTGTATTCACATTGTATTGTATTCACATTGAGCTCTCAGGATTTCTTCCTCCTTGGAATTACCCATTCGGGTTTACCAAGTTCTTCGTAACTTAACTATATATATATATATATATATATATATATATATATATATATATATATATATATATTGATGCATGTTTCATTAAATAATATAGACAAGTTTTGTCTATTTATTTTATCTAAATTTTTTTTCATATCGTCTGATAATCTTAATAACATTATCATTAAAAGAAGAAAAGAACTTACAATATTGATACATATTTGTTTTAATCCTATCTAAGCTTTCGGCTTAAATAAGGCATTATCAAAGATGACAATTACATTAAAATATATTAACCAATACACGGACAAAACAATAATGATAGTCTGTTTATTTATACATGGAAGTTTTCCAAGCAACGACAAACTCGTGCATACGTGACGCTGGAAGCGAACGTTGCAACCCAGCTCATGTCGTCACACATGACCACGCAAGAGTGAAAACGAGAAGTATTAAGTATGGGAAGCCGTGGATAAAAAAAACAATGGCTTCTGTTATAAATTATGGGCATTTAAGTATATTTGTGGAGATTTCATAGTTTATTTTGTTCAGGTTAGGTTTCAACTGTTTTACGTATATAGCTTCAAGAATTTTTAGTTTTTGTTTATTGCTTTCATGTTTAAGTATAGTTGTGTTTTCAAGGAGGATTTTGTCTGTGCTGATAAATAAAGTAAATTTCTTAATAGGTTATTCAAAAAAATCGCTTGAGAATGGAACGGAGCTATGGATTTTAAATTTAAAAAATATGGTCCCATCGCTATACAGGAATTACCAATTTTCAAAACAGAAACTGAAATTTTAGATTTAATTATAAAATTAAATTTAAAATTCATAGCTCCGTTCAATTCTCAAGCGATTTTGTGGAATAATCTATTAAGAAATTTACTTTATTTATAAGCATAGACAATCTCAATATCTTAAATTGTTAAGGTTACGGAAAATTCAATTATTTTGATAAGGGGTGATTGGGTTTTAATTTCTTTAGCCAACTTATTTATCCAATATAATTTACTTTCAAAATCAGGTTAAGTTAAGGTGGGGTAGGAGTGCCTGCTTACACACAATGACATCCGTTTTTCGCGTGTCGTCTGGGTTTTTCAAAGATAAAATTTGTCATTTTTATTTGGCCGCTTAATTTATAATTTTATACACAAAGATTTCTTTCAAGGGGTCATAAGAATATGAGTAAGTCGTACTTTTAATATTTAAAATCTATTCCTACAAATTTAAAGTACTTTTCTACGTCTTATAACTAACAGACTATACGTTATTTTTTACAAATATATATATATTAGAATTATATTCGTATTTAAAAAAAAATAATAAAGTAATTTGTTATTTTTCAAAAAGTTATTAACGTATAATTTTTTATGTATGCACAAAAGATATGGGTTATTTAATAACCTACAAGCTCTGGCTCTTTTTATTAAGTTCCATTTTAATGTTCGTGTTTTATTGGTTTCTTTTAAGTGCCAGAAATATTTAGATAGGGATGTTTGATTTCTGTATTTATTATTTTTAAAGGACATTTGATGTTGGTACCAATGTCTTTTGAAATCATGTTTTATGCATCCAATGTAGATTTTAACTATATCTGAATCTTGAATCGATGAAATATTGCATTGATAAACCAATGATTCCATGCAAGATTTATTATTGAGAAAACAATTTTGAGGATTTCTGCAGTTGCATAATTTTTCCTTATCTTCATTTCTTTTTTATTTTAGGATCAAGATTTTTTGATTTTGCTCTAAGTGTTTACTCATGATGTTAGTATTACGTTTCTTAATAATCATTATATATATATATATATATATATATATATATATATATATATATATATATATATATGTGTGTGTGTGTGTGTAATCCCACAGAATTTGTAAACAGACAAAACCGCATATTTTCCCTAAAAGGTGACCATTTTGTCGGAGAACAACTCACCAGAAAAATCGTTGTCAACTAGTAAAATGTTCACGAGAATC